GAAGCCCAAATTTGTTTTTCAGTTAAATTCGGGCTACATATACAACTTAAAATCGTCTTTTAGTAAAATTCGGTGTACTCATATGTTCTAAATTTGTCTTTCATATAAAATCAAGTCTTAAAAAGTCGACTTCGCTGGTCCTTATTTGTGACTGTAACTTTGTATGTATAAACGATTGTTGTATGGAAAGTTGTACCGATTTATTTAAATTATTATAGTTACTATATTATTATTATTACTATTATTGAAATAACATGCTATTATTATTCTTATTATTTACTATTATTATAAATAATATTTTTATTATTATTACCATTGATATTTATGAGTTAAATATTTTCAAAATTACACAATTTATGTTTCAACATCAGTCAAAAAAAACGCCGAAGGTTTTCGAAAATATTTTCCATAAAACATTAAACCGATACAACACGCGATCTACCGGAAGATTTAAAAAACCTTTCCGTTCATCAAAACTTACGAGCTTTGCCATTTCCTATCGTGGCCCAATGCTATGGAACCATTTTACAAGTCTGAGTGGTAAACTTAAAGAAGCCAATACCTCTCAAAAATTTAAAAAGAACATAATCGAACTTATTGCCAATCACGATTCTTTACATGATTTTTTCTAACAATACACGATTATTTCCAATTTTTATTATCAAAGGTAACTGATGAAAAGACTTTATCTTCTTCAGGTTCTCCGGTCTTGTAACTATTATAAATAATGAAATGTCTTGTATTTAATATTTCTAAATATTTTACGGAAATTATCTTTAATTGTAAATGGTTGCTTGACAAAAATTGAAAAAAAAAAAATTAAAAAAAAAAAATAACAATAATTACTATCTCAATCATTGTCATTGGTATTTACTTAATGTTAATAGTTTATACTATTTGTAAACAACCTTGAAATGTAATACCAAATATTTCAGAAAATATATTGAATACTACTAATAAGTATACTAATACAAGTATGATGTCAGTTGTAATGAACTAATCATAACAGTAAGATAAATCGTCATATGTACTGATCACAGTAGAGCCTGTGTATACCTAAAAAACTAAAAATACCACTGTCCTATCTAGAGGCAGTTCTACGAACAAAATGAGGGGGGAACAAATTTCTTGTATATCTTTGCAACTAGATCTAAAAGTTCAGTTAATTTATGGACCTTATACAGCCGTAAAAACCTCAGGGAAAGTAAAAGTTATATAAGAGTAAGTGTTAGTTGAGTTATTATCAAAACAATTGGATAGGTGTCTATTATAAAAACAAATAACTAAGTGGAAGAAATAGAAGTAGTTGATCACGTATACATTCTATCTCCATCAGTAAAAAAACAAGCAGATCAAACAAACACTTTTATAATGCTATATAAAGTTTGCAACCAGGAGAAGTGATATTCAGTGAATAAAATAAAAGTAGAATTAATAATTATATACATGTTGTACCCTATTTCAAGGTCACAAGGCTCGGCGACTGGATTATTAAAACATTTCTAAGCTTTGACAGTACAATAGTTTTTTTTACACTATTTAATAAACAAAAGACTTTATAAAACGGCGAAAAAGTTTTTTTTTTTAATTTTCTCTCTTTCGTTTGTTATAGTATCTTTATATATGTTATGTTGTAATATCTTTATATATGTTATGTTGTAATATCTTTATATATGTTATGTTGTAATATCTTTATTTATGTTGTAATATCTATAGAACCCTCAAAAGTGTTTCATTTTGTATCTTAAAAAATCAAAAAAGATTGGAAAAAATAAATAAATAGTGGAAACGGTGAGATTTAAACCGTGGCGCTTTGCATTAGAAAGCTGCAACCTAACACACTAGCCAGCAAACACTGGTCGTACAAATTAACTTTTTGGTACCAAAATATTTATTTTGGCCATCGTGGAACGTTTAAAAGACGTCTAAGTTACAATCGGAAGTTTGTTTTTTCATAATAAAATACAGATCAAACAAACATGTAAACTAAAATTAAAATCTTATTTTATTAGTATCGGTCAAAAAACATTCAGTTAATAAAAAGTTACAATATAAGTATTTTTTATAAAAAATTTCAAATCAAATCAAATTAAATCAAATTTAGGGAAGAGTGGGTCACAGCTGAACAAAAATTGTTAAATTTTGATTTACTAAACTTTTTCTGCTCGTAACTTTACTCCAAAGTTTGATACAAACAAAATTATCTTTGGTGGGATTAAATTATGTCCAAGAAAGATAAAAACAGTTGTATTTTATAGATGACATGCATTATAACAAAACTCACAAAATTGTTCAGCTTTGCCCCATGGTGGGGCACAGTTAAAACAGGTATGGGGCACACTTGAACTTAGCATTTTCTACAATTAATTCCCATGACAAATTAGGCCCAGTAAAACAATAAAAAGCAAGAACAAATCCAGTCGGCAAAAACTTTAAGCATTAATAATGAATAAACCAAACGTCTTACATGCACGATACGTATCTAGCAGGCAATAGAACATACAGCTATAAAACTCTGCCAGCACCAATGTTAGCACCAATTCTGCAATTCTAAGTTACAAAGCATGGACCAACAGATTTAATCTACAAATAGTACAATCAGGCATCCTACATAACCACCGATGGATCTAACTTATGTTTGTTCATAAAATTAAAATATTAAAACAGTAAAACAATGATAAATGCAGTCAGCAAAAACGTAATACTTTAGAGCTGCAGAAACAAGTTTTGTTACACGGTAAAGGACTATATTTTGTTCGCCTTATATGACTAGTCTGAATAGAATGTCACTTCTTGCGGCATGTGGGGTTGCAATTGATCCGTTTGCCCCCCCCCCCCCCCGCATTTTGCAATACGTTTTTTTTGAGTACCCTCCTCCTCCCTAAAAGTACTAACGCTTTTAACCTATATTTCTAACATTTAATGAGATTCTTTTGAATTTAGTGTCTCCTTTCTTTTATAATTGACCCGTTGCCCTCACATCTTATATACACCGTTTGTAGGGCCCTTCTTCCCCTCCGAGCGTACGTATTTTATGGACGATCTCAAAGTTATTTTTTACAAAAAACGATTAAATCAATTGTCAATAAATTATAAATATTCATACACTACAATACTTGTCTCCCCTATATTCTTTAAATTTTTTAAACGTTGATTGGTTCACTCCAAAATACGTCATTTTCACGAAAAGTAGCCAAAATTGCTTCTTAATTTCCGTGAACTAATTTACACCAAAAATATAATCAACGAAGAAAATTAGATAAGTGTTTTTACTAAATTATTATTGGTCTGATCTTATAAACATGATCTTATATATATATATATATATATATATATATATATATATATATATATATATATATATATATATATATATATATATATATATACATATATATATATATATATATATATATATATATATATATATATATATATATATATATATATATATATATACATATATATATATATATACATATATATATATATATATATATATATATATATGTATGTATGTATGTATGTATGTATGTATGTATGTATGTATGTATGTATATATATATATTATATATATATATATATATATATATATATATATATATATATATATATATATATACACATATATATATATATTATATCTGAGCATATCTTCAACAATAATTCGATGTAAGAACAACAATCTAATTTTTAATATCAATAAACTCGACACAATATTTACCAACCACACATAAATGTCATAAAATTAAAGTTTAACTATTCTTCTTTTCAAAAATAATCTAACTTTATATGTTTCTAAAAAAAAAACACCTTTAAAAAAACGTTTATCTGACGCCGCACTAAATTCGATTCCCGATAACGCGATTTCCGCATACCTATTGAAATACTTGAAATATTTATATTTGATTTAAAATTTTTAAATTCAGCTTATAGCAGGGTATTATTTATCTGGAGCAAGTTTTTCTGCAATCTGCAAAAATTTTGGTTAGGATAAGTTAATTTAGGTAACCTAATATTTGAACTAATTTGAACGAATTCATTAAAATTCAAGTCTGCGCTATAAAATGTCATTTAAAAAATATTATTAAATGACATTTTATGACCATTGACTTTAACCATAAAGTCCATAATAATTCGGCACAATTTAACCATAAATTGTGCCGAATTTTTAGGTGTTGTGCAGAAGACTTGTTTAGCATTAGCCCGCAACGATGGCAAATTTAAAAAAAAAGCGTTACATGCTGTTAAATGCAGGAATTTTCGATGTTTCAGATATGGTACTTTTGGACATTGTGCAAACTCAAGTATATTCATACTTTTTATTTTTTTTAACTTTATTTAGGTGCCCCAAAACGTCCTTACGGTCTTTCACAGAGCACCGCAGAAATCGCAGTAATTGGAGACTGGAAATGAGTTAACGAGAAATAAGCATATTACATTATCCTTAAATTTATAGACAGGTTTTAAATTTAATTTAATACTCTTGTAGGATTCAAAAATTATGACCATGTAAAACTTACAACCTCCTCATTTTATTAAAATAAATATATAAAAACAAATAAAAATAAAAAAATTAAGCAAATAAAACCACATAAAATTAAAATAAAACCAATCAATGAAATTAAACTTAGTAAAGTATGCTCAAGTTCATATTTTATCAACTCATTGATCTCACGTTAGGGGTAGGAGGAGCCAACTTTTTGTGACCAATAGCTGACCAACGATACACGTTGGTCAGATAGAATTGACCTTGGCAGAAAATTTTCCTGGTTTAAAGAATGCTAAGTCTCAATCTGACTGATAACCTAACATATTGCAAACTAAACAAAACAGCCTCTGTCAAAGTTTTACCTATAGTTTGCTGTGATAGACATGTTTGATGTGATAGAAAATTATTTAAATTTTGGATTATAAATTTCTTTCAGTAACCATATTTTGAGTCTAACTAAGCTTTTTTTTTATTAGTGTACTTTAGCAAATTTAAAAGAAAATAGTTCTTGAATGAAATATAAAAAAATCTAACGTCTAAAACTATTTCTTAAACTAATCACAAACTTTGCTTTATCAAACTCATCTTTATTGATGCAGCGCTTTCTCGCTTCATTCTCATTTAGTTTAGAAATTCTTTCTCCAGTATTAATTATAATGTGATCCCTCTTTTCAATATTATTTGCTTCAGTACCAACATTATTTGCTTTTTTCGTTTTAAGCAGACCTGAACTAGTAGAAAAATTTATTTGCATCGAAAGCAGCTCTTCTTTAGTTTTTGCAAGAGTTTCTGTTAATTCAAATCTTTCCTCGCATTCACGTTTTACACAATTTTGAAGCAATTTAATCTGCATATAAATAAAAGGTAAAAAAAGATTAATCTTTTACATAAATATACACCAAACATGAACATAAGCTATTGGTTGAACACGATAAAATTCTTTCGTTAATTAGTCAAAAACTACTTAATTTTTTTTGCGCACTGAAACTAAAATATAAACAAATATTAAACTAAAAAAACATTTGAGATTTTTCTTCAAAACCCTTCATTGTCAGAAGTTAACATTTCAAAATTGACCAGTGTTTCTAGATCCTCACTTGAACAAACATTTTGGGGGTTAAAGATTTAATGATAAATATAAAACAAATCAAATGTCAGTCGCAGAGAGATCTCGCAACTTTGATAAGAAAAGTAGTTAAAACATATCATTAAAAAAAAAATATTTTTCGAGTTATTGAAAGTTATGGGTCAATTACAAAAGAAACACAAAAGTCTCGATTTTGTACCTAAGGAAACAAACCGTCCAAATTGTGCTGAGCAGCGAGTTATTGAAAATTATTAATCAATTATAAAATGATTTTTATTGAAAAACAAGAAATTAGCTTCAGATAAAAAAAGATTTCAAGAAAAATGGCAATGAAAAAACTCAAAGCAAGATCCAGCAGATGATGTCAATTACTCGCAAATATATTTAGTTTCTATCTAAGCGTCCAATTAAAGATGTATAAAATTATTAAAATAAATAATTAATTCAATTAGCCTCACATTGTGAATAAAAAATTTAAAAAATCTAAGCAATTTTTGAGTAATTTACAATTAAAGGATGCTGAACTTTATCGTGTTCAACCGATATATTATAATATATTAAATAATGTATATATAGAATATATAATATCAGACACATATAGTATATATAATAATAGACATAAATTCAAGAAAGATAAATTTTATATAGTTTATCATAATTGTTAAAGTTTATTTTATGTTACAACCAGACCAGATAGAAATAGTAAATAAAAACAAAAAATATCACATTAATTACATAAAAAAGTGAAATTAATAAATCTGGTCGGAATATGTCCCATATTAGTGGCAAATTGCAGTGGCGTTGCAACATATTTGGTAGCCTTTACTCATCCATTTAATGATTTTTCAGCAATCTCTGCAAAACTATAATAAACTATGTGGCTTTTAATCTTAATATAGATTCCGTGGTCCTTTGGATTTTGTAGGATAGACCAAGTTACACTTGTATTCCTTTTATTTGATGTTTTACTTATTTTTTGCTAATGGAAAAAAGTCTACATAGGATGAACCAATTTACCTCATTGAGCCAATGAGGTAAATTGGTTCATCCTAGCGAATATTTAGTTTAAAAAAAAAGTTTTTTAAGCGTCTTTTAAACGTTGAAAACATCTTTTAGACGTTTAAAAAACATTTTTTCCGGACCAAATGTCCGCTGAAGTGGCTATAAAACAATAAAAATTTAATAACACATTTTTTTTTTAATTACGCTTTATCTTTTTATATCTAAACAAATTTTCAAAATAGAAAGTTGAATGGTGTTGAAACTTACACATTACTAACTTCCGAAAAATTGACAAACCACCAAATTCCCGTTTCTTTAATAACATACATTTTTAACTTTATTCAGTCGTGACATTTCTCAAATAAAAAAATAATGTTATAAACAAGGATTGGAAGTTCAATTTCAAAATTTGCAGTTCCTGTACCATAAATGTCCTGATTTTTTATCTACTTAAATGCCCCATAAGTTTCGCCGTTAGACCGTTCCCTAGAACGGTCTAACGGCGCCCCCTAAAACAATCAAAAAAAAAAAAAAAAAAAAAAAAAATTATAAGATCAAATTACTGAAGACAACTCCGGTCGCCCCTATTTATTGACTTGGCCCCCCGCGACACTAAACCTCAATCCGCCACTGTATATATATATATATATATATATATATATATATATATATATATATATATATATATATATATATATATATATATATATATATATATATATATATATATATATATATATATATATATATATATATATATATATATATATATATATATATATATATATATATATATATATATATATATATATATATATATGCATGCATTGCACATACCATTTTGTATACCATGTATATGAGTATATTTGTACAATAAAAGTGTAAATTTAATCACAATATAGAATTTATAAAAGTTAAAATTAAACTTGTCAGTTGTAAAAAACAAACATGTTTAGGGTTTTTGGATATTTTTATTTTTAATTAGTTTTTTCGGCTAACCCAGCATTACTCTAATACAATACTAAATAGTACTAATAATAAAATAAGCAACTTTTAAGTTGATTATAATGTAAATAAGTCAATAGAAAATTATAATTTAATTAAATTCCATTTATAATTGAATATAAATTGAATTTATAAAGTTGGTATACTATAAAGAAAAAATGTGAAAAGGAAACACAAATTATTTTCAGTGTAACTGCAATAAAGTTTGTATCAAAAGGTATCATTTAAACTTTGCTAAATACGGAATGTAGTAGATTTTTGGGAAATAAAACGATTAGTAGCAATTATTTGTGATATTTTGAAATGTTTTTATTTGAAGTTTGTGCAAACATAACCTTGATTAAACTTGATATGCTAAATGAATAAGATTCATAAAGCATAGCAAATAACCTTTTGATTTAAGATGTGAAACAATTTTATTATTTGAATAAGCAAGTTATCCATTTAAAGTTTTTTGACTCCCTTTTGGAAAAAATTCTACTAAGTACTTTATAAAAAATTTTGGCCAATCATTAGCATGAAGTTACTATATACAAACATAAATATTTTGTATATTACTTTAAGTTAAATCCCATACTGGTTTCTCATTATTGCAAATCAGTTGTTGTAACTGCTTCAAAAAAACTGACTTAATACTAAGTTAAATTCAAACGACAAACAATTTTTTGTGTGATATCAAAATTACAGATATCGCAAAGAAGTAATAATGATATAAAAACTCTAGATATCATAAAAAAGTGACAATAACTATTTCTGTTAGTTCTGAAACAAGTTTTGATGATGAATCAGGTATATGGTAACTAATTGACAATACTTATGTCTTTAATGTTTGGGTCATTCTGGGAATTTTAAAAATATTGAAGGCTAAAAATAAAAATAAATGCATTCAATATACCAGAGTGCCATAAAAAAAATATTTGAAATTAGGGGTAACAATAATCTAACAAAAAAAGACATGTTGTTGATACAAGTTTTGCAATGAAATAAAAAAGCCTTGTCTTCACAATCAATTTGGCAAAAATAAAAGCAAAATAAAAGCAAAACTCTAATGTTAAAAGTACAACTCAACAAACAAAAAAAAAAAAATCCATATCGAAATTTAAAAAATATCAAGTGGAAAATGCTCATCTCAGTTGCTCACAATTTTGCTTCAGTTGCTTTTGAATGCTTGGGCATATGAAGTCATACGACATAAATAGTATGACAGTCTCTTGGGAAACTTTTTTGTTACTGCTGTGGACAAAACCTTTTTGCCAAGTGATAAATTTAAAAAAAGGCTTGCAAAGTTATTTTTTGTATCATTGCATTTAAGGCAATCGTCTCCATGGAAATAAGAAAATATGGAAGAAGAAAACCATTTGGAAAGAAATGAAATAGTAAGCTACAATAAACACAATAACCTTAGTATATAAACACAACAACCTTAGTAATTTATTATGACTTGGAGGAAAAATTTACTTACTCTGACATGTTTGGCATTCCACTCTGCTCCGAACTACTTAAGCTGTAGAAAACTTTCACTATTAGGTTTTTTGTATTTAGCTTTAGTTTCAAATATATCACCCTAAGTACCCTAAGCTTTATCATCCAAGGAGTGAAATGTGACTTACTTAGAACTCAAAACTGCAGCAAGTTTTTCAGGGGGAACTGGTGATTTTATATATTTTGTGTCTGCATGAGATTTACGCTCAAAACTTTTTAATCACATTAATTTATTATGTGCAGCTTTAATGTGTTTCCATCTTATGTACTCCATTATCTGCTTGGAAGTAAACTTCTGATCTAGAGAGATTGAACCAGGCTTTTCAATTCTTCGAAGTCATTCAATATTTTTACTGTTAAAACAACAATTCTCTTGTGACAATAAGTTGCAACTTCTTTTTTCAGCTAGATATACAATACCTTATTGTAAAAAAATTTCATTTTTATTTGATTTTTTTTTTGAGGCTCATTCTGTTAAAACTTTGACAAACTGGATATTCCTTGTCATTCTTTTTTGCTCTCTACAGTTGCTGCAATCATCAAAAGTAATTAAAAATCAATTTATTTTAAACTTCTTCAATCTTTTGCTTCGATTTGTTTATAAAATGCATTAGTGGTTTAGTGGTAAACTCATGATTAAAAAGTTTTGACTTTGATCCCCATTTGACAGTATCTCTACTATGTCCCTAGTAATACCGTGCTTAACATGTTTGTATGCGCTGCTTTATTTGTCAAGGTTTGTGTTTCTGAGTTCAAGAGTTGAGAGAGAGTTATAAATACAATAAAGTAACCTTGTCGACTGTAGTGGTCTTCTTGGCCTTGTGGAGGTGAATAACATTAAAAAAAATGCTTTTAAAAATTCTTTATAAATGGATTTGTAAATACTTTTTTTTTCACTAGACATTTTTATTCTACAACAAGATTTTTCTTATTTTTCTTTACAATCATTACATGTAAAATAAAATTATATAAATAATAGCATTGATAGTACTAAAATTTATTATTAATATATTTAGGAAATAACAGTTAAGAATTGTTTCACTCAAACAGTAGACAAATCAAATGAATGATACCAAACATTAAAAGTAATAAAAATAAAAACAAACAAAAAATGACAATATTGCAATATTAAAAAATAATATTTATTGACTAATGGTGATTCAGAATAATACCGATTATGGATAATTCCATGTCAAATGACCCAGGCCATGTCACCATACATCTCAGATTTTACTAATTTTTATACAGATAAGAGCACTTGATAAAATAAA